AAAGCTGCTCAGGCACATTGAGGTCAGACATACCTATCAAGTTACTGCCGTGCTGGAAAATTAAATAACAGACATGTGAAAGGAAATCTTAGGAAATAAGGCCTATCGTACATGAAAAAGGAAAGAATGAACTTCAAAACAGGGTGTTATGAGTTAATAATTCACATTAAAATTATAGTATATGTTCAAGTTAATATTTTTATGTCACAAAATACATAAAGGTTTCAAAATACAGTTAATTGCACTAACAAAGATGAACTTACTTAGTATGACAATTCTATCAAACAGCTACTCTTTTATAGGTGAGGAAAGTGAAGCACAAAGAGTGAAGTCCAAGGTGACACAGCTGGCAAGTGGCAGGGCTGGATATGACTCAAGGCAGTTTTGCTCCATAATCCATGGAGTTGCATAACCACTAGACAATGCTGTAGTTAAATGATAGGACTACCTGGTCAGGACCAGAATTCAGGTGTCAATTCCCATTATGAAGCTTTTCCACTGAATCATCTGCCTCTTTAGTTCACATGTAAATGTGAAGTTTCAAACACCTAACAGTTAACTTGTTATGTATAATCTAGTTTCAGTGTATAGGTGGTTCTTCAAGGGACCCACATTCCAGCTGACGCAGTCAGCCGGATGAAATGAAATGCTTTTGCTAATTCTATACCATTTCTTATGGGTGGGGTTAAAATTGGGTCAACATGGTATTGCATTCTATCACAAAGCAAACGCTACATTGGCAACATTCTGCCAGACCTCATGAACACCAGGGAGCCAAGAAAAGGCTATGGTTTCTCTCCAGTAACTAATACAGACTCCCCATCATATACACATTTTTCACTATTTTCTGTTTTCTGACTGATTAGACTGTCACACTTCTTCATCTTATGTCTTAAAATCTTGACAAGAAACCTCATTCCTTAGTTCATTCATAAATACTTCCATCTAAGACAGGGAAAAGAAATCTTAAAGCCCCACTCTGCTACAATTTCTCTCCATTTCCAAATCTAACACTTTGAAAAACATCCAGAGAGAAGAAAAAGTTAAGATTCAGTTTAAATCAAGTCACAGTATGCAGAGCAGGACTGAGTATTCATATTCACGTCAACACGCAGACCTCTCCCCTGAAGCCTAGGAAGACAGACTGTGCTTACCCCCAAGCAGACCATGCCCAGGGCCAAGCCAGCAGCTAACGAGTAGGACTCTCTGTCGGTGCAGTATTCCATCTCAGGACCAGGGGGCCTTCCTGTGAAAGAGGAAATAACGAGGTTCAAGGTGGCCTTTTAAAATCTTAATTCATAGGAGCTTTAGAGTTAGCTTTCTGTTTACTACAAAAAAACTCCAAAATGATCCTTGTAATTTTCTAATTTAAAAACAATGCCTTTATTTTATTTATTTAGATTTAGATATATTTTTAATACTTATAGTTGAAAGTATTACATATCTCCTTTTTCCCCCATTGACCTCTTCTAGCCTGCCAATGCCCCCCACCCCTACCCCAGGCTTTTACACCCTAATGTCTGTGTCCATGGGTTTTGCACATACGCATACAAGTTCTTTGGTTGATCTCTTCCCACCCATCCACCCTCTCCCACGTTCCCTCTGAGAGCAATAACTTTAAAACACCGCAAAAAATTAGGTTTGATTTTTTTTAATTACTAAGAAATAGGAAAAAAAATTTTATAATACAACTTTTTTTATGTATATACTATTGATTTTTTTACAGAGTGGAAGGGAGAAGGATAGAGAGTTAGAAACATCGATGAGAGAGAAACATTGATCAGCTGCCTCCTCCACAGCCCCTACTGGGGATGTGCCTCCAACCAAGGTACATGCCCTTGTCCGGAATCGAACCTGGGACCCCTTTTGTTTTTGCTTTATTATTTTCAAATCCATTTATTAGATATGGTGAAAACATGTTGAAATACAGGACGGATACTTCCCACAAGTTTTAAGCACATGAAATATTTTGCTTCCAGACACCTGTTTTGAACCTACATAATAATAATACTGAGCTGCTCTACTATGGTAGAATTTCTGTGTATTGATCCTAAATGCTTGGCTTGATGCAAAGTTTACACTTATAAAAAGCACCACATAACACTAACTCTACCCTTTAAGGCAGCAAACTGTATTATATATAAAGACCTCTCCCTCCAAAAAAAAGTTCACATTCCTGAGATTTTATCTTCAGGGGAAAAATACAATTAAAAAATAATAAATATTACACAAAAGTAATCAGCATAATGTTTATGCATAACAGCAAAGAATTAGATACTATTTAAAAGACCTGAAAATAAAAAGTTATTAGGCAATTTTATTAGTAAGATCATTCTATCCCCACATTAGCTACTATTTTTCCTTAATTTTAATAATTTCACTATCTTTCTTACTTTGTTTCCTGTGGAATGCAAAATGTTTGCTAATGAAGACACAGCACTATTGATGCCATACCTATTTCAGCCAGCAGGACTTCGGCAGTATGCCTGTGAGCTGTCCCTTGATATACAAGGCCAATGCCGACCACCGCAGCCACCTGGACATTGTGAGGAACATCAAGCTCTGTGGACGTCGGAGGTAAGAGAG